CACGGATGATGAGGGTCTGAGATAATTATGTAATTCTTACCTAATTAAAGGTCAGACCTATAGCTTTTCAATTATTTGAGCATCGATTCTCATTTCTCTTTAAATAGCCAAGAAGGAAGACGTAGGGGGAGAGTTTTACCACAGATTTTTTTAGCCAAGGATCCAACGTATATCCCTATGAAAAAGATATTGTCCGACAGGTAAGCAAAAAAAACTGTTAAATGTTTGCTACAAATAAATTCCCCAAAGAGCCCCATTTGAAACGGTGGAAACGAATATATAAAACATCAAAAGCAAATCACGAAAATTTGATTTAAAATTACAGTGCACACTTTCCCCTTTTATGTCTAGTAGCTTTTTTAAGATTGGTCCAAAAAAATCGTAATAAAGAAAGAAACCAACGCAAATATTTAAAGAACAGAAAAAAAAAATATTATTAAAAGGACTATCATGATTCAATAATACAAGGTTAGATAATTATTGACAGCTGCGGTTTGACACTCCCTTACAAAAGGTTGCATTTACGAAGGACGGAGAAAGGGGAAGAATGAAAACTCTTGGTGCGAAAATGGTAGTAGAAAAGTACGCAAAGTAGGCAATAAGTAGTGAAATTCCTTTTGTAAATTCGAATGTATTTGCAGGAAATCTGGCATTTTAAACGAAATGTTGAACGTAATATTGATATATCTACGTGAATTACGTAATTTAAGTGCTATTTGTATAAAAACTGCAAAATGACTCAAAATTAAAATACGACTACTATGAGATTGATGTAAACATCCAATGCTTATGTTTTCATCAGTTAAATATGCTTCATATGCATATACAAATAAACATATTGCACAAAAGCTTATACTTTTATTTCACACCAAAGCTACACTGTTTCCATGTAAATTTGCAAGGAAGCGACACGGTGCCACTGCTAAGGGAGCGGTGCGAGAGAGACAACTGCATGATGCAATAATACAAGGTGTTATCGGTTGGCAACTTCTCGCTCTAATTCCGCCATATTGACTGCCTTAGTTGAAACCGTGTTACTGTACTGTACTGTAAAAATATAGTTGAATTTTTTTTATTTTTTCTCAGTATACACATTTTGTTTTCTCAAAAAGGTATTATATCTTATTTTATTTCATTTCATTGCGAATATACTATAAAAAAGCAAATTTTGTTTAGAAGAAAATATGAAATTTTATATTTTTCCCCCAAATGGGGATTCATTTCTTCCCGTTTTTCTTCTTATTCTACTGAGCTAAGGCAGTGTCAAGTCGAGCTGTCACAACTGATACCACCTTGTATTATTGCATCATGGTATTATGGAATCATGAAGGACTATGTTCTCTTTGACGTACGTCAAGTAGAAGTGGGAACATGTATCTGCCCATTGATAGCTCGGTTATATAGCTTAAGAAATAATATGTTTAGAAACACTTTTATCAAAGTTGATAAATATGACATTTGACCAGTTCTGTTACACAAATACTCCAATGTGCGGCGCCCGGGTAACACGACCAAAAAAAAATTGGCTACAATTTGTCATTTTGTTTGCCAGATATACGTTTTATCGGTACACTTGCACAACACTTGCATTCGCAAAAGCTCCGCATTGATTATTGCGAATGCGAATGCTAAAATTAATGCGGAAGCTCCGCGGTTGCAAATGTGAATCCGAATATTCGCAACAACCCTGGTTTGAACAGCAGTTTGTGCGGTGTATTTGGATTCTTTAGCGCTTCGGTATATGCACTTAAGTAGATTTTTTTTCAAAAGACAAGAGCTTAAAGCGCGTTTTTATGAAAAGTATATTTTTAAACGCGTGCGTTGCAAAAATATTTATGTGTTGCTCTTTCTTTCGCAAATTTTTGTTATATCCTTTTTATACACGTACGTTATCACAGATTGAATAAAACTATATTTATATACATATGTACGTAAATGTATTTATTATATGAGGCCTTGAGCGCCAGAGTAGCTTAACTGACATTTCAAACAAAGTTGAGCTGCACCTTAATATGCATTACCAGTAGGGTTGCCAGATTTTTTATGCGCGAAATCAGTACGTTATACTTTTTCATGCTAAAAAAGTCAGTACTTTTCAGTACATTGTTATTCAAATCAAAATTATGAATGTAAGTAACAGATAAAACTTTAAAACGTCAGAGTACTTGTTTTTAACAATATTTTGGTACATAAATAAAATATTGTTTATCAAAAATAAGTGTTATTCACTTTAACATGAGTGTACACATCATTGTACACAGAAGCCAATAAATTATTTTATCTTTATGACATTTTCCAATAATCATAATGAGATCATTTCCATCTTCAGTGTTTAAGTAGTAAAAAAATCCTATACATTTAATTTTAAACTTACTTTTAATTTGCAGTTCACTTTAAAAAATTTTTATCAGAAGCCGGTTTCTCTCTTTGCGCCAGGAAGCAAACTTTATACTTAGATCCTCTCAGTTGCTTTGTTTGAATGTGGTATTTGAAAAAAAAAACTAAATTACATATATTTTCAAACTGTGGTAAAATACCACTATTTAAGGACTTCATCTATAATTCCTCATGGCTTAAATTAATTTTTTCAACTACGCAAAAACTTTTAAAGACTAAGAATTCGCCAAAAAGAGTATCTAACTCTATGCCTTGTATGCAAAACTCGTTTACAATGTCAGTGAATTGTGAAAAAAGAATTGTAAATTATAGGCAAAAGCCATTCGAATATTCACATTTGTTGTTATTTAACTGTTAAAAGTTATTTTCGAGATAACTAAAAACACTCGACAAAAAAACGTCAGCCCTATTTTTAAAAAATTTAAGCTCCATCAACTGGTACGTAACGACCCGTCGATATGCCCATAAAACGATTGATCTTTTTGTTGTATTAATTTCTTGGGCATATCAAAAATTATTTGTAACATGTCAACTATAATTAAATTATTTTCTTTTTGCTTTTTACAGTACAGTTTAAGGAAGTTCCAGCGTTATGTAAAAACCTTAGGAAAATCCTAAAATATTTTGTTTGAATTGAAAATTCAGAACAAATCAGTACAAATTTTTAAAAATCAGGACATTAGCGTACTGATTGAAGAAATTAATAAAATGAGTACAAGAGATGAAAAATCAGTACTGTACACTCAGGGAAAAAACATTGTAAAATCAATGAAAACGTGCTTAAACTAAGCAAAAACGTATTTAAAAGTGACGTAAATATGAAAATTTTTACTTTAAAAATGTGCGTTATAACATTGTAAAATCAAGTAAAAACATATTTTATTTAAATATTTTTCAACGTTATTTTAAACACTAAAATTTTGAATCGAAAACTTTAATTTTTAATATAACAATAATCGTTTTTGATTTAAGCTTGATTTTTGTTAATTCAAATAACAAATGTGCTTGATTTAAAAATATTCATATTTAATTCAAATATGATTCACATCAAATCAAATATGTATATTGTTAAATTAAAACTGTGTGTATTCGTTTTAATAATGAAACATTTTAGTTTTTTTATATTCACCACTCTTTATTTATTCACCTTTTTTAAGCCATACACAAATTATTAGTCAAGGTACAAATTTGTGTTTGTATACATTTTGTAGGTACACACTTAATATGAGAAATAAAAACTTAAATCTAAAATGATCCTATAAAAACGGTCATACAGGGTGTCCCAGAAGTAACGTGCCAAACTTTAGGGCAAGGTAGGTGGGGGGGTGAGCACACTGATAAACAAAAAATTTTCAGGTAAAAGTGTCACGGTTTTTGAAATATTTACATTTTTTCGAATTAAAACAAAATCGTGCCTTTTCATGTCTTTTCTTTAACTGCAACTACAAACCGGGCAATACTAAGTAAATTGTTTATGTAAAATACTTCCAGATAGTTGCCTCTCCATACTCAAATGCAATGTAGTTAAAATAAATTAAGGAACCATCATAAAATTAGGACTATTTCTGGATTTTTAACTTTTTGATATTTTCTTCCCCAACTTTGACTATCTCGGGTGAAAAAAAAATGTACTGAGCTATAACTTTACATTACATAAAAAAATTGCTCATTTAATAAAGATTTCAGAAAGGTGCCACACTTACTGTTTTGAATAGAAAAAAAAAGTTATAGCCGCTTTTGTGGGTAAAGGACTGAGACACGCTAGAATGTATTTAATAGATTTATATTGAATTTGCTCTTGTTACCGTCAAATGACATGCTAAATAGTACAAAGGTACAT